TCTTTATATCTACTCATGAGCTTGTTTAATCTGGGCCTTTTTATTTTCTCCCCTATCCAGCTGGTTTCAGGGAAGGGAGTAGGAGGGAGCAAGCAATTGGGTGGGAGTTTTACTGCTCATCCAGGGTCAACCTACCATACATTTTTAGTCTGAGATTATAATAATTGCATGATTATTGTCAATCCTAATTATTCTTGAGAGATAAGACTGTATCTCACAAGAGACATGAATTTCAAAGGAAGAGTAATAGGCATCTAAAAATCAAAACAAAGGTGTTCTGCCTAAAATAGGCATAGTAAAACTGTTGGATGAGTCATTACATGTATTTTCTCAGACATTGTGAAACTTTTTAGAAAAATACATCTTTGTAGTTTGAACAGTGTTTAAAATTTTCTTTTAAATATGCCTGCAGCAATATGCTGGGTGAGAACTGAAAAGTAAACACGGTGATCTGTTTAATGGACTAAGATAACTAAAATACAAGTCACTGCAGTTAAAAATATGCATTTGGTCTAAAGTCTTCACTAGTTGTTATCTAGATATCACAAGTTGTTGAGTTTTTATTTCCCTTAGTCATATTCCTTTTAATACCTGTGGGATATATAAGTTAATAAATGCTACTGGTAATTATTATTCCAAGTGCAGTTGACATTTGAAAGCAAATAATCACAGTGAAACACCATATCAAATGTTAATTTATATATAGGACAGGCAATCTATTTATGCTCCCATTTCAGTCTTCCCATTGCTCTTAACGTGACAGTCAAGAGAAAAGCAACCCAGCCATACTAAGAGGGACACAGAGCTTGAACAGATGTGATCAGCATTCCTCTTTGTCTTCCTTGAAATCACCTCATAAGAGATTCTTCTTTAATTTTGATCAGAAGAGATTTTAAATCTTATTTTATTTTCTTTTCCTCACATCTCTTCAAAGCAGGATAGATGGAGGGAAGATTTATCTCCAAAGAGACAGGGAGAGAGTGATGATTCTTTCTTGCTGCTGCTGTGAGGGTCAGGACTGCCAGCTGCAGCCAACTGTGTAGAGCTTTATTCCTCCCAGCGATGACAAGAGCAGCTGTGACTCCAAAGCCGCTGGCAGCTCAGAGATGATTTGTTATGGGTGATCTGTCATGGGCTGTCCCAGCAGTGCTTCTATGCCACCTATTCACATAAACGAGAAGCTTTGCATCACAGTGAACACCACCCTCCTGCTGAGCAACGTCACCTTTCTGTCCCCAGCATGCTGCTGCGATCCTCTTCATGCACAGCAAGGCTCCGCGACAACAGTTGAGTCACATCATCGTCACATTGCTGGCTAGCTGTGACAAAGTGGTTTTCTGGCAGGAGAAGGCAGCCAAGCCATGATGGCCTGAGGCAAGGCAAGGGTTATGCTCTTCCAGAGTTAAGGCAGCTGTGAGTAACAGGGCAGGTGGACCAAAGTCACAATTTTTCTGTGGGGCTCTGTATGGTTTCTACTCTGATGTTTGGGGATACTCAGTGAAAACTCCCACATGTGGTGAGACTCAAGGGCATAAATGAAGCTGTGTAACAGCAGCAGAGGTTCTCTTACCTTGGGAGTCAGTACAGATGCGTGCTTGTTTCTCTGTCATCTGGTGTACCCATCCATAATTCCACTTAGAAGGAAAAAGGCAGTTGCTCCTTTCAGCCAGCAGCTGCCACTACTGCCTTTCTCTGTCTCAAAACAATTTTGAGGGAGAAAGTGTTAAACAGGAGGACTTCTGTTTGTTTGAGGGGTTTATTTCTTTGCTGAAATAAAACAAGGGGGAAAGAAGGGTACTTGAGTTGGCAGCATTTATTCCCTTAACTTCTCAGCACCAGCTATTGCTTCTGAAATAGTCCAGAGTAATAACCCTGGTGCTTTTCTATGGATTGCTAAGCTTTGTATTTAACCACTACCACAATGTAATACATGTGGCTGATGTCGCGAAAGGCTCACTATGCACAGGGGGAGAACCAGGAAGAATAATGAAAAGAGGGACTACTGATAAGCTCCAGCCTCAAAAATAAACTCTTTCCAGGTTATGTGAAATGATGCATTGCAGATGCTGAGTTTGATCACACCTTAGTCTTAGACTCTTAGGGCTTTTCTCTCCCTCATGAAGTCCAGAAGCACTCAGGGGATGAACTGAGTTCCAGATGCTTAAATTCTGAGATTTGTAAGACTTTCAGTAATACTTTAGATTGGTTTGTTTTTAGATGTGGTTTGATGCTGCCTCTCTTTTATCATGTGCTGTGAAAATCACCAAAATCAGGCTAACACAGAAGGTTCTGTGCTTGGATAGATCAGCTGGCGTACCCTGAAATTAGTCAGGTAAGTCATGCCCCAGTCCATGTTATTTGCTGGTTACTATTGCACCTTATTTTCAAAACTGTCTATGAAACCTTGGCCTCCCTTTGCTTTGACTTATGTTGTGCTTTCTGCAGAACCAAACACATTTCAAACACAGCCCAGTCTGTGCTGTGACTGCATTGGACAGGAAAGACAGACAGCCAATCATGGGAGAAGCATGATCTATTAGGTTTGCAGGGCTGGGGTAAGCGCAGCAAGCTGAAATGTTCCATTCATCAGATATCAGATCTTCACAAAAGAAAATAGATTGGCAATTTTTGTGAGAACCCCAGCCTTGCTTTGGGGCCTCATGTGGTGGTGAAATTCCTCCTCCAACCCGTGCTTCCAAAGAAAAACTCCGCAGGCTTAGCTGTTCGGTCTCAAGGCAGTTTATTGCTAGTTATCTAACAGATTATGTTCTTGGACTGTGGCTGTTTGATCAGCGGCCTGGGTAGAGGCACACACACACCCTGACATCCTCTCTATCTGCTGTCTTCTTTGTCTCTCTCTCCGCCCAGGGTTGCTGCTATCTTTTATATGATATATTACGTATAACATGTTTACAATTATTCCCCAATACCTACTACCTACGTTGCCAAGTGTTTTTCTACTCTAAACCAATCTGTGAGTGCCAACATCACCAAGAACATGGAGGTAAGGAAGAAGAAGGAGGAAGAACAGGATCAGCCCACTTTCCTCCATCTTAGAACTTCTGACCCCCATGTACAAAGTGAAAACCCCCCTGTACATGTGTTAAAACCTCCCTGTACAATACTAAAAAAATTTCCCCTCTATTTTGTAACTACTTTTACTATACTATCTAACCTTTTGTGATTGCTTGTTCCACCTCCAAAGTTGGTAATTCATTCCATGGCTCAAACTCAAAATCACAGCTGTTTTTCAGTTGTCTGCCAGGGTCTAGAATGCTTCTGACCAAGGCCTGGAACCTCTAAAAATGTCTGAGAGACATTTTGAGTTCCCACAAATTTTACTAGACACTTAAAAATATTAAAAATATGCTTTTCTCATTTACTAAAATAAGGAAACCTGAAATTTCTTTGATGAAAAGGTTTGGATGCAAGTTATTTTTTTTGTTTTTACCTTAAAAATGTTACTTAGGAATTGCATATAACCCTGAATACTGCTTGTTTAATCAATGTATTGAAGTGTTTTGGAGACTCAAAATGCATTCTTGACCTCCTTAGAGTCTTTTGAGTGTTTAATGTGGACCACAATGGGAATATACAGTTGCTTGTGTCTTCCCACAACTTTTGCTATTCACAAGCCTAAATTCTGTAATATCTGGTATTTGTTGTCTGACACACTGTCTGTTTTTTTGATAGCAGAAGTTGGTGGGTTAATATATGGTCAATGCTAACACCTTCCTTGTGAGTAACCTGTCAGCCTTCCACAGAAGGTGCAGAACCCTCCCATGGCATTTGAGGTGTAGGGAAACAAACACCATTGGAAGCCAGCCTGGATAATGTTCAGCACAACAAAGAACATTGTGTGTCTGGAATGATGCTGCTCTGGGCCCTCAAAAAACGAAGAAACCAACCAGTTAACCAACCCAAAACCCCCTTTGTCTCCAGCTTAAATGTGCACATGGCTTTTATCCTGATGCTATGTTTTCAGAGATGAACCTTCCTCCTCCCTTTCTCCCCCACCTGCTGGAGAAGACGAGTTGTCTGTCCCTCTCCCACTGCACCACCAGGAGTAACTTGGCAGTAGGTCTTGCTAGCACACATTTGTGAGAGATCAACTTAAGTAAAAATCCATGTTCCAGTCTTATTATGTGATAAAATACAGACTAAGGGCAAGGCTGGCAAAATGACCCAGCCCAGCTTCCTGAATGTCAACAGGGAAGATATTTACATGAGAGGAGCAGTACAGAAGACTTCTATATTTATACCTGCTAGACATAATGATTGGAGTTTTTGCTTTTAATATGGATATCATCACTGTCATTAGTTAGTGGAAATTAAGGCTTCAATTGATTGAATAATTTAAACAAGTTTAAATGTGAATTTATTTCTGAAGGAAGGTTTAATATGAATGAAGCTAACATGGTGTTCTATGAACTGACTAGAGTTCAGTTCCAAGTTTCTAGATTAAGACAATGTAAACAGCATCATTCTTAGTTTTGGACCATTTACAGTGTCATGATCATGAAAAGTGGATTTAGCATAGGGTTCCTTTTTCATACCTGATGCGTTGGGGTAAAGAAGCAATAAAAATCAGTGCATTTTTTTTACCTAGAGCTGGTATGCTTTTGAGAACAAAGCAGTTTTATTAAAAAAAATATCAGTAATAAAAAATATGTTTTTAGCAGGGGTAATGCGAGCTCGTTGCTTACTTCCCGGCACCGGCCGCCCCTCTCCGTGGTGCTGAAGGGCTCCCTCCGCCCTCGAGGGCGCGGGCCGTGGGCGGAGGACCCGCCCTGCATCCCCCGCCCTGCATCCCCCGCCCCTGCATCCCTGCTGATGCTGCATCCCCTCTTCCTGCATCCTTCGTCCCTGCATCTCCCGCTCCTGCATCGGTGGCCACTGCATCCGGCCCCTTTCATCCCCCTTCCCTGCATCCCCCGCTCCTGCATCCGCTCCCCCCCGCATCCGCCGCCGCCGCTGCGGCTCCTGCGCCGCCCCCGCCCCGCGGCCGCTCAGCGCCGGCGGGCTCCGGCGGGGCTCCATGGCGGAGCGCGGGGCCTGAGGCGGCGGCGTGGGCGGCATGGAGGCGGATTTCGCCGCCTTCGGGAGCCCGCTGTGCGGCGAGGTCAAGCGCTTCTGCCGGCGGGTGCGGGAGACGTACCGGGAGATCCAGGAGGACCTCACGCCCTACAAGGATGATCGTTACTACCGGTACTGCGGGCGCGGCTCCGGCCGGGATCGGGGCCGTCTCGGGGGGCGAGCGGGGGCTTGGCTCCGGGCATCACACGAGGAGCCCCCGGCTGAGCGCTGGGAGCGGCCGCCCAGCCCCGGGGGATGTGCTCTGGCAGCGCCCCCCGATCAGACAAGGCTGCCCCACGCCTCTCTTCCTGCCCTCACCTGTTAACACCCATACACAGGCAATTTCCATCTGCGTCCCTCTGTGCTACGACTTTTCCACTGACGTAGCAAGCGAGGTGGATGAGTTCTAGAGGCAGCCGCGAAACAATCCTGGAATAAATAGGATAGGAATAGATTAGGAAAATGAGAGTGGTTGGCAAAGGTTGAGGTCAGACAGGACAGATCCACTGGGTGGGCTACACCCACATTTCTTCAGAGCCTTGCCCTGTCTGCTGTTTCTGTGACTGACCAGTGATGGCTGGAGAGTATGGATGGTTTGAGATTACAAAAGGCTAGGAAGGGCTCCAAGGGTGCTGGATGCCTTGGTTATAAATGAATTGAAGGAAGGTTGAATTGAACTGAATTGGAGGAAGGTTCTGAGAAAGTACAATGAACATCAGGAGAAACAGGTGCCAGGAACTATGGAGAGAATGGATGCTGTTCAGCCACACAAATACAAGTTGGGGAGTAGTTATATGACACTTTTTGTCTTAAAAAGGTATATACATTTTAATCTTTTATAAAATTATCTCTTTCAACAATGACATTTTCTTATACACATGAAAAAGGTAAATGTACAGCAGAAGCATAAGATGTGAGAGTTACACCACCTACTTTAGTCAACATTCCAGACCTTAGTGCAAGCTATGTCCACACTTCAAGGGCCTGCCAGTGGAAGAGAGGATAAGACAGGGATCTGGATAATCAAAAGTCTTGAAAGCATAGCTTTGAGGAAAATTTGAGATTACTCCCCCAAAATAACAAACATTGAAGTTGGAAGAATAGGAATTTCTGTAAAGAGAAACTTCATGTTCATCTTTGACAAAATGTTACAGAGTAATACTAACTGAAGCAATAAAAGTTCTTGTTAGATATCAAGAAAAAAAATCTGAATGGGAAGGATGGCAAAACACTACAAGAAAGGATTATCCAGAGAGACTCCAGCATCTCCATCATTGCAAGGTTTAAAAAACTTTGACAAACACATGCCAGAAAAGTCTTAGATCTGGTAGATGCTGTCCTAGGACAGAAGGAAAGATGAGGTACCTTGTAAGGTCTCTTTCAGCCCTATTTTACTGTACATCTGGGCAGTCTGCTTCTGCAGAATACCCCAGCTGTTCTGCTTAAATAATTTGACTTCAGAATGTGGTTTTTCTCAGTGAAGGGGCAGGTGTTCCATTAGATTGCATTTGCTCATTATTCACAACATCAAAGACTACAGAGTCACAGAGCTTGGAAACACTGCCTGACAGCTTGGCAGAATCTAATAAAACCACAGTCTTTCCTGGCAAAACAGTGGCTCCTTACACTTGAGTGTGGTGGGAGAAGCCATGGGAGCTGATAAGGAGTGATAGAAATGTACCTGTGTGCATCTGGCAGTGCAATAAGGAATACTGGCACTGGAATGGAGAAAGAGGGGAGACATTAACTTGTTGAATTAACAAATAAGAGGTCCTGGGAGAGGCCTTTGTTCAGCTTTATTTCTAGAAAAATCTTGAGCTCCCCAAGATAAGCTATTATTAATTCATTTTTATGACCTTAAGAGTGTATGGAGGGACTTTCTGCATTGAAAAGATGCTACCTCAGTGAATCAAATGTGCCTGCAGAGTTAGTGCTAGATTGCCTTTTATTCAGTGACAATGAGGTATCAGCTGCTGGTCATCTAGAATGGAATGGAGTAATACTAGACTCTTAGCATGGAAATAATACTTCCTGACTTACAAGTCATGCTAGTAATTCTCTGCAATCCTAAGATCTTAACCTAGAGTGACCTGGTGTAAAGTGAGTTTCTGTTACTGCCACTGCATATCTGCTGTTCTGGTGAGTGCACTGTGGATGGATGTAGCAATGGCACCTTGCTTTTTAGATTCCTGGTGTGGAGGAGGGTTCCTTGATGCTACCATGCATTCTTGTTACAGGCAACTCCCACTTAGAGGAAGGAGACTTAGATTTTTGATCCTCTTGTCCCTCTTTGTTTTAGTCAGGATGTTTGGTCAGGTTATAAATGAGCATACTCTGGGATGTAATGTAGAGACTTACTGCTCTGACAGCAGATGACAATTCCCCTGCCTCTCTAAGCCATTTTGAGTAGACTATTGGTATGAAAACAGCTTACTACCAATTTTACTAAAACACATTTTTATCTCTTTGACATGCTAGCAATGAGATACCAAAGCTTATCAGAAGACACCAAGCTTCCCAATCAGCTGACAGATATTTTTCAGTGAGAATTTCATAACTCTATCACCTAGCTGGTGTTGAAGAGTTCAGCTTGCTGGGAACATTTTGATAGACAAGTGTCTATCTGATAGACAGGAGAGAGCAGGAGGGTACTCTCTGACATCAGAGTTGCATAACTGCAACATGGCATTCCTGAAAAATCAATTTCTAGGTTAATGAACATGTTCCACTGGCCAATCAGCTTATACAGGGAAGCACAGTGTTGATGCTGAATTTAGTAGTAATACACAGAGACTGTGATAAATGTCCTTCAGCCTGCCCTGCTTTACACAAGGGATAAACTTTAAACTCCTATAATATAATAATATGACATTTTGTACATCAAAAAGAAAAGACTATAGTCTTTTACAGGACATCACAAAAAGTATTTTTTAACTTGCAGCTTTAATTAATGCTTGATGTTACATAGACAATCTTCAAACCATAGGGGAAAATTTCATTGACTGTGGTTCTGCTCCTTTGGCAAAAAGACCAGAGAATACCACATCACTTGACTCAGGAATAAAGAGAAGCTGTTCATTTTTCCTTAGAGAACCTATGTGCTTCTGAGGAGAAACTCGAAGTTGCTAGAGAAGGCTGTTGTGATAAAATATACATTTATTCACAGCAATATACATCTTCTACCCAGGGCTTAAAGTGCAAGTCTGTGAGAAGCTGTGGGGTCAACAAGACCTTGTTGGACATCTGCAGTCAAATTCCTGGAAGGTTCATGCTGCCTTCAGCCTTGACCCAGGCAGGATCGTCAGTGGCTGCTTTGAGCCACAGCTGGCACCCTTCTCTTGTTCTTGCAGGGTCCTGGCAATTGGAAGAACCTGAATGACCCCAGTGTGAAGTATACAGCTAGGGCCAGAAGGCTTGAAAGAGAGAAGAGGATGAGGCTAACACCATAGCTTCATGATTGCTTTAAGTTGCCATAAGCTGGCTCTGTGGCTGGAAAAAGCCATCCTAGCTCTCATTTCCCTGGTCACACATTTCTGCTCTTTCCTCATCTGCCCACAATTAATCCTTTATGTGTACACTGACTGAGCAACTGATTCCTAAGTGACCTTTAACTCAGATGATTTTCATTATTTGATTCACCAGTCTCCTGCACTAACATGAGTGCTGGCAAAATTGAAAGAGCTCCAGCTAGAGAGAGGCTGGATTTCACCTATTGTCACTGAAGCTGTAGGTGTGAGCCATGAAAGTGTAAACTGGCCATGAAAGTACAGCTTTAGTGCTAAGGTGCTCCATTTAAGTAGAATGCCAGCTGAGTGAGTATTCAGCCTCCTATTGATAGCTCAGTCTGCCTTCTCTTGCAAGCCTCATTCATCACACACTGTCCAGCTCCTACAACTGATGAGGCAGACAGCAGCTTCTTGCACTATTTCATCCCAGAGCACGTCAGACAAAGCACTGAGTGGCACCTTCTTGGAAGAAGCAGAGAGAGACTGACTGACTCTGTGAAGAGAGAGCAGTTTCAGTGTCTTCCCTCCAAGTGTTCAGTTTGTAAACTCAGTGCCAAAATTTTCACAAAGAATAGCATGAAATGTACAGGTTTGCAGTGTATTCACAACCCTTTGTAAGCTGGTAGATGACAAAGAGAAATGTGGTCCTATGGCTAACTGAAGTGAGCTGGATTTCAAGCTCTGCCACCCACACTGTTCTCCAAGTGACTTTTGGCAAGGCTCAGTCTCTGTGCTTCAGGTTTCCTACCTACTCAATGAGGTTTGAGGATAATAAATTCATGTTAGTAAGACACCTGAGTGCCAGAGGGATTGGAGCAGTCCTTGGAACAGCTCAGTTGTGTGCACATAAACAGAAGTGTAACTCCAGAGAGTCATAACTCCATAACCATGCTTCCCAGAATACTGGGAATGGTCACAGATGCTGTAAGTACCATTCCATCATTTTCTGGCCAGGGAGAGCTTGTTGGAGAAGCCTGAAGTGTGCTGAAAGCAACACAATGCATGTCATAGTCATCCATGACCTAATGACCAACTGTGGCTTGGCAGTGATGATAACTTGTTCTGAGCAGATACAGTTTGTTAAGTTGTCCTGATTACTCAAAGCTTTATTTTCTTCCCCCCCAGTTAATTGTCTACAGTTTAAACTCTCATTGATTAAAAATACATGGTCTCCTTTTCTTCATCAATTGGTACTATGTATTTCTCAAGGCAGCTATTTTTATGAGATTATTAAGTGATCATCAGTGCTGTAAATTACTGATGGCATAAATACCAGTATCAATGACTAAACTAATTTCCAGCATGTTTTTAGGTTTAGTGATGTTACACAAGAGCCATACTGGGTCCCACAGGTCACAGTAGTGACATAACTGCCCCCAGAGTAATGGAATAAAATGAATAATATTATTAACCCTAAGTACATTTAAAAAGGAAATGCAATAAGACTAAGTATCATCTAAGTAGGCTTTTAATGAAATTATTTAACTGTTGAAGAGATAATTTTTAAATTATTTGTTGACTGATCTATCTCAGTATTTCTTGGGGGGTCATCTCAAAGATGCTCTGCCTTCTGTATATGACAAACAACAAAGCCAGGCAGTTACTCTGAATTTCATTCAAGACTAA